GAAACATTCAAACTACCTTCCTCAGAGATTCATGCAAAAAGAGCTAAAGGACTGCCCACCTCTAACTTTGCCTAATCTCTGTAACCTCTCTCAATCATCTGCGATAAGCCTACTCTCATCCTCTCAACACTTTTGTCCACCTCCATTCTGCAAGCAGGCATGCAGTTATATTGAATACACCATGTAGAAACCCTTAAGCCTGCGTTTCCACACATCCTGAGAACAGGCACTCCCATCAGCAATGGTGGCACCACTTCACTAGTCAGCATTATCCTTCGCTTCTGGAAATAATGGGAGACCCTTGCCTCCCATCATAGCTCAGCTTTAGTGCTGGTGTTGAAGACTTGTCCTACAAGGCTATGTGGCTTGTTTCTGTTTTAAAACTGTCCTTTGTGATAGGCCATAGCACCAGGACAGACCTAATGGTGTGTTAAGTCATTAAAGACATAAGAAGAGGGAGTTTTAGGCCTACTTCTCCATCCCCCCAACCCTCCACTCCTGGTTTTGCTGGTTCTTGTGAAAATATCAGACTTCTTAAACACCACAACCAAGAAAATCAACCTGTGCACTGAATGCCCACCACCTTCTATACGTCTCCCCTAAGGCTGCCTTCAGAAACAAGGCTACCTGTGTGGTCTGAGACACATACTGAGGAAAACACCCTATGTGAGTGAGCCTGGAATCAGAGCCATTTGGACTGGGCATTGAGCTAGTTAAAACTCTTATGCCAAATTCCAAATCATAGGTAGCTTATTTGGATAAATTCAGGTTTCCTTCTCACATAAGGAATGGGAGCCACAAAACTCACTAGTGAAGCATTTAAAGGGAATAAAGTCAATAAAGAATTATAATTGCAGGAAAATGACTTATTTCTTTTTGGTTTTACAGGAGGCTTTCTGTCCTACAGAGTTTCTGAGTCAGCACCATGACCATGACACATGGTTACTTACAGTGGACCTGGGAACTAGGAAATTAAAATTCAAGCTTAAAAAGGGGGTACCTGGTCCCCATCAAGATTTATACTGTATTTCTCTTAATGATATCTTCTCCTTCATCTTCATAAGGCCAACAAATTTCCTACTGATAACACAGAACACTTTTGAACTTGCACATGTATATACACACACAGAACATCTTCAACATATAGGACCAGAGTTTAAATCCAAGGTGTGCTTCCACTGTAGAGGCTAACCTCCTAATAACTCTCCCAGAGCTGTGGGAATAAATCAAACCAGTAAATGGTGTCTTAAATAGAATAGTCTTTGGTGATAGGTGCCAAATAAATATAAGTGCCTGTTCCCATGTAGATTTCCCATGTAGATTCCCTAAAGTTCCCATGTAGATTGTTCCCATGTAGACATTCCCTAAATGTTCCCATGTAGATTCCCTAAAGTTCTACGTGTCCATCGGAAACACTTTTTGGCTTGAGAGAGGGAAATGACTCTGAGTACTACATTACCCAAGGCCTCCTAAACGTTTTAAACTGTATTCAGGTAGCACATTAGTGATTGAATTGGTACTAGATAGCAAGTAAAATGTATTAAAGCCCTGAGGAAGCTATGGTCCAATGCCCTCTCTCTCACAGTGAGAATTTTACTTTCAGGAGAAAAGACATATAAAGGCCAAGTTCTAAACTGTTTTCCTGTTTGCCTCTATCATAAAGTCAACAAATATTTACCAAGAAGCTCATCTTTTCCAGAGGTTGGTAAGCACCCTTCCCTGATCTTATGTATCTATAGCATAGATGTGTGCTGGAAGCCACCTACATTGCTAAAAAAGGCAAGCAGGGTAAATGTATTCCTTATATTATACATTATATTAATGTATTCCTTATATTAACCACTTCAAGTCTGTTTCAAATGAGAAGGATGAAGGTAGCTTACAAAGGAAAATAGCATAGTCCCCACAAGCCCACAAAGTACAGTCAAAATGTCACAGCAATTTGCATGTGCAGTACAAGGTTTTTCTAGCACACTAACATCGCAGTAATATGGTCTGATATTGGTCAGCCATCTTTTCAAGGTCCAGAGGATGAAATGGTCCATTAACCTGTTTCTAAGCTTGTCAAGTCAGGGTCAAAAAGGGGTCATGAAAAACTTTCTGACCAGCCAGGCTGTGGGGCCAACTATAGGTGAAATCCAGACAAATACAGCCCCCACATAATATACGTTCATAAATTTAAGAAGTTGGTCTCTCTAAAAAACAAAGTTCACGCACCTATGTGCAACATACAAACATTTTACCCCAACATGGTAAGCTTAAAATCTAACCAGGCGCAATGGCTCATGCCTGTAATTCTAGCACTCTGGGAGGCCAAGGCGGGCTGATTGCTCGAGGTCAGGAGTTTGAAACCAGCCTGAGAAAGAATGAGACCCCGTCTCTACTAAAAATAGAAAGAAATTGGCTAACTAAAAAAAAATATATAGAGAAAAAAATTAGCCAGGCATGGTGGCACATGCCTGTAGTCCCAGCTACTTGGGGGGCTGAGGCAGGAGGATTGCTTGAGCCCAGGAGTTTGAGGTTGCTGTGAGCTAGGCTGATGCTACGGTACTCTAGCCCAGGCAAAAGAGCGAGACTCTGTCTCTTAAAAAAAAAAAAAAATCTGTTTCAGCATCACAGGAATCAGACCATCACTGCTATCCAGCCCAGCCCAGCCTCAGCAGCCTTATGAGGTAAATGGAATCTAAAGTCTAACTTTAAAAAATGCCCTGTGCTAAATTCCCAAATAATTATCCTGTTGTGTAACATCTGGGAGTGTGGGCTGGGGGAATATAATTCTTCTTTGATGCAATTGCCTGATAAACTATATCTCAGTAGGAGAATGCAAGAATTAAAGGAAACTCTACTTGTTTGACCATTTAGAGTCAGCCTTTCTCTAGGAGAAAGCTGAGCTTGAATAATCATGGTATAGACAGACAAGCCTGTTGGCCCCCAACTCTACCCAAATCAGAGATTACTTGGGGCTGTGTGTTTCACCATTCAGTGACTTCATCCCCTCACTTGTGAAGAGAGGGGTTCTAAATTCTGTGGTTTCTGGAGAGGCAAAAAGAGAGACAAAATAATGTATTCATTGTTGTCACATTTGGTAAATTCCCTCTCATAGGAAATATATTTCATTTTCCTAAATAAGACAATAACATGAGGTTCTCAACATTAATACCAGAAAATTTTTGTTCCATTGATCTTCCTCAAGGGACCCTCTTTGCCTTAGTGCTTTCACTGCTCAGCTCTCAGGAAATTTTATTAAGCAAGATCAACACCACCACCACCACCACCACCCTCAAAGCGTACCTGTTTAGTGCTGATTGTTCCCAGCATCATATAATGCTTCTCTTCCACAGACACAGAATTAATCAAATTTTTAAAAATTGAATTTCAAAGTTACAAACATATTAACTTTTTTTTTTTTGAGATAGAGTCTCACTCTGTTGCCCAGGCTAGAGTGAGTACCATGGCATCAGCCTAGCTCACAGCAACCTCAAACTCGTGGGCTCAAGCAATCCTACTGCCCCAGCCTCCCGAGTAGCTGGGACTACAGGCATGCACCACCATGCCCGGCTAATTTTTTCTATATATATTAGTTGGCCAATTAATTTCTTTCTATTTATAGTAGAGGCGGGGTCTCGCTCTTGCTCAGGCTGGTTTCGAACTCCTGACCTTGAGCAATCCGCCCTCCTCGGCCTCCCAGAGTGCTAGAATTACAGGCGTAAGCCACCGTGCCCGGCCAAACATATTAACTTTTACTTAAATGATACTTCTTTCCACATATATCTGGTAGTAACCTAAGCAATGAGTTAATGCCTTAGTATATGATTTGGTGGAGGGCTCGAGTTAAGGCTGTTCATGAATTGTCCAATGAAGAGATGATCCAGACGACAAACTGTCTGCCAATGTCCATAAAAACAGGTTGGCGGAGGAGGGGAAGGAAAAAATCACAATGAGTTTAAATTTGTAGAAATATTACCTTATATTTGTATAATTGTTTAGAATTTACCCAGGTTGCAGTTTCAAAACAACTTTCAAATCTTGAGGAAGAATGCCTAGGTTATAAATTTGCAGGTGAGTAGGCTAATAAAAAAAACACTCAGCAAAGCAAACCATTTAAAGGAGCAATCTATATATGTTTTCCCTCATTCCTCATGGCTGGAACAGCACAGCAAATGCTATTATTCTATAATGACTAGAAGTGGAATCACAAGTGAAAATTCATCTGGAGTTTCATGTTAAGTTGAGCTGGATCAAAAGATACATCTAAAAGAAGGCTGAGTAGTTTAAATGAGAATCTTTAGACTATAGGTTACATTTAATTTAAAGGATTAACTGAAGAAAAGTGTAAGCGTGACAAGGCAAAGAGGTTTCCAGAATCTTGAATCACCTCTCAATCTTTATCCAGCCGCTGAGGACACTGGTACACAAATTTCATACTCTGTTATCACCCCCTAAAACACATTTTCCCTGCTGTGATTCTACACTCTACCTGGAGACACCTAGAAAGAACGGGAAATGGGCTTTATTGTGGGTCCAAGGAACACCTACCAATTTTGACTCCAAGTATGGACTCTAGATATGAAACAGAGGTAGAAAAACAATTCTAGGAAATGTAAACACAAAATAAAAGCCACTGAAGTCTCTATGAGAACTAATAGGGAGAGAACAATTAAACTGAAATTCTAACTGTCTTTCCAATGCTACTTAACACAGGTAGTCCAAACTGGGTGAAGATGGAGAACAACTGTAAGAGTTCTTAGATCAGGTCAGTTAAGCAACTAGTATAAGTGCCCACATAATGTTTTTAAGAAAGAAAACTGTCCCCACCCCACCCCCAACTTCTGTCATAGTTGTAGTGTTCATTAGCTTAAAAATGGCATCATACAAAAAAACCTCAAACATGGCTAATAAGCTCAATTATCAACAGAGGTAGTAAACAAAGGAACGCCTAAGAATAGATTTTTAAATGGATCAAAGTGTGACTATACATTCAAAACCCTAGAGCCACATAATCATCCCCAAAATGAACTGTTTTAATTTTAAAATGTTTAAAAACACAATGACAAAGAAGCACTAATGTGCCTTAGGCACAATCCCAGATCAGTGCTGACTTTAAAGCTACGTTCTCTCTTTCCAAGAAGGAGAAAGCAGAGAACAAAGTTCAATCTACAATGGGAAGGAACAGAATGAAAACAAAACAACCAAAAGGGTTGTTTCCAGCAGCCTAGATTATTCTTTGTTTTTAGGCCACAACATTGGAAATACTTATTCTTCTTATGTAAGTCTTTTCCTTACAACCTTTATTTTTTAAAAACTGCAATCTGCTGCACAAGAGATGTCCACATTTCCACTGGCAGAAAAGCCATTTCTGTGCACAATTTTTGCTTCCTCAGTGTGGGTCCTCCTTCCCTGAAAGTGCAAAGAGAACAAGCAGACAGACACCTGCAGGGCCCAGAGCCCCAGGACTATTCCAGCTCCACTTGTACAGCCAGCAGAAGGATTCACTGCATTTGTGCTTCAAAGATCCAGCTCATTTTGGTTGTTCTTCTCAGTTGGCAAACTGCTCATAAAAAGCAAACTTGATCCTCTCTATGTGATGGCAAAGTTTGATGGCAGGGCCCAATTTTAAGTCCATGCACTCTTGAACAGTGGGAAGGGTAAGGAGCAACAGCGCCTGCCCATCAATTTCCTGTTGAGGCATAAAATATAAATTATCTGTGATGTGCATATGAATGGCAGCTCGATCATGATAGTCCCTATACACTAGGGCTTTGTCAAAATTGGAGTCTCTGTGCTTTCCTTTCCTAACTTTTTCCTTTTAAACAAATATCACACATTTCCTTTTAAGTGCCTCCACAGTCCTCCATACTAATGAAACTTCAGAATTAATAAAGTTTTATTAGTTTTACCAAGAAGCAATTAAGTTTTACCAATGATAAGAATTCACTCTACAGAGTATTTGCTTGGCAGAAATTCAGTAAACTATCCCTGTAACTGGCAATTAATTGTGTCATCTTTTGACAGGGCTCTTTCTAAATCAGAAACAAAATATTAACTATAAAATTCAAGGATTTCTTACTCTGTAATGTTCATAAAATCCTGAAGAGCTCTTCAAAGACCTTCAGTTTTGACCCTCCCTAATTATTAAAACAAAATTTATTCCAATGTTTAAGTCCACTATTGTGTTTCAGAAAGCTTGCCTAAAATTGATCACCACTCTAGAGCCTAACGTATTACAGATGATAATGTTTTAAAAATAAGCAAATCATTATTTTTGAAAAAATGAGGACAACTAAGTATGGCATGCTTGATTTTAAGCCATTTAAGTATGTGGAGGCTGGAATTGAATTCTCAGGAATGATGGAAATGCAATGACAATCTGCTTCAACTATGGAGCAAGTCTGATAAATAGCTTTTTATCATCTTTCCACTCCTAAAATAGGAACTAAACAATTTTTTTCTTTTTAATCAAAACATTTTTTCCTAAAATTTGTAAATAAATTACTATTAAGCCCATAGTTCTTTGCTAAAGAGACATATTACTAAAAATTGTAAGTATCTGTGATTACCTGGTCTAGGAATATTCTTGCTAATGGAGCACAGTCCGTGGATCTGATGAACCGCACAACGTCTGCCACACTCCACTTCAGGGGGTTACTGTCCAGGTGAAGCCTCTCAGCAACTTCAATCCTTATTTCCTTCATTCCCCATAACAAAACAAAACAAAATGGTATAAGAGCTATTTTATTCTAAAAAAGCTCTCTCTATATAAATTTATAATCCTTTAAGACCAGATTTAAAGTGGTCTTAGGACATAATTTCTTCCAGCAAAGATAGCAAAGGCCCATGGGTACTCAAGAAATGTTTGTCTGTAATATAAATTATCAATGGGAAAGAATTTATCTCTAAGTTTCAGCACAAATATTATTTGTATAATTTAACACAGAAAAATAGTTTTTAAATCTCCCATTTATTCCTTGGTCTATTTTAGTTCACTCTCTGGTAAGGTGCTTAAGCGAATGGGATGGTGACTCCAATGAAAGAATGTTTGCCAAAATTATCAGGAGAAGACATTTATTGCTTCTGTTCATGAAGTATTTTTAAAAAGCAATCCAGTTGTAGAACACTAACTTAACTGTTATTCTTTTTTTGAGACAGAGTCTCGCTTTGTTGCCCAGGCTAGAGTGAGTGCTGTGGTGTCAGCCTAGCTCACAGCAACCTCAAACTCCTAGGCTCAAGCAATTCTTCTGCCTCAGCCTCCCAAGTAGCTGGGACTACAGGTATGTGCCACCATGCCCAGCTAATTTTTTCTATATATATTAGTTGGCCAATTAATTTCTTCCTATTTATAGTAGAGGCGGGGTCTCGCTCTTGCTCAGGCTGGTTTCGAACTCCTGACCTCGAGCAATCCGCCCTCCTCAGCCTCCCGGAGTGCTAGGATTACAGGCATAAGACACTGCGCCCAGCCTTTAACTGTTATTCTTTAGTGTATATGTGATTATAATGTGTACTTATGTATACATTAAATATACTTAACCAAATGGCTTAACCAGAAACAAAGATAATTTATTTCTACAAAACCACATATATTATGAAAAATATTAAGAAGGCAGTTTTTGGCCAGGCACGGTGGCTCAAGCCTGTAATCCTAGCACTTTGAGAGGCTGAGGTGGGAAGATAACTCAAGCTCAGGAGTTTGAAATCAGCCTGAGCAAGAGTGAGACCCCGTCTTTACTAAAAATAGAAAGAAATGAATTGGCCAACTAAAAATATATAGAAAAAATTAGCCAGGCGTGGTGGAACATACCTGTAGTCCCAGCTACTCAGGAGGCTTGAGGCAGAAGGATCTCTTGAGCCTAGGAGTTTGAGGTTGCTGTAAACTAGGCTGATGCCACAGCACTCTAGCCCGGGCAACAGAGTAAGACTCTTTCTCAAAAGAAGGCAGTTTTCACAATGCTAAATGACAGGCTACAAATAAGCTATCAATGAAGCATTTTTTAACTTAAAACAAACAGCTACTGTGTTTCCCTGAAAATAAGACCTACCCATAAAATAAGCCCTAGCAGGATTTCTAAGCATTTGCACAATATAAGCCCTACCCCGAAAATAAGACCTAGTGATGAGCATGGCTACGCAGTGTATCTGCACAACCCATGCATTTCGTCGCAGATTGGTAAAGAAGTGATGAGCAGCCCTTCTCATCTGCCCCATCGTGGCAGCTACTATCCCAGAGGTGACCGGAAAGGTGCGGGCAGCCCCACCAACAAGGTCGGCTCCCCCTGTCAGGTCCTGGCCATCCTGTATGTGCTGCAAGCTGAGGCTTTGAGGGGAAAATAACACATCCCCTGAAAATAAGTTCTAGGGTGTCTTCTAGAGGAAAAATAAATATAAGACCCTGTCTTATTTTCGGGGAAACATGGTACTCTGGAAGAGACTTCCCCTCTTTTAAGTAGTTGATCTCCAAGTAATCCTTGAAACACATGTAAATCACTGCATTATTTTAAAAGAGACCCTGAAAATTCTATACAAGCCTGTAATGAAAGAGGTGGAATGCTAGTATCATTAACAATTAGATTCTAGAGGGAAATTCTAGACAGAGAGACAAAAAGAAACTATTTTTCAAATGGTACCTTTGGTGAAGGAGGTTTATTTTCATCATCAGAAAATGAAAAAGTACGAAGCTCTCTTTTTCTCTTTTGTCTGTCTGGAGGCAGCGATGTGGACATCTCACTTTGGGTGGGAGAAGAGGAGCATGACTTTTTTTCTGACATTTCTGACTCTTCCTGTAGCTCATCCTGTTGCTCAGAGGTACTGCCTTCACTGAGGGAATCGTCATCCCCTTCATCTGGGTCATCCTCATCTTCACCCCCACTTCCCTGGAATATTATAAAAGGAGAGAAGTCTCACTGAAATTCAGAACAAACCAGTTCCTGGGCCACAAAACCATCTTCTATAGGCCAGAGATCTGCATCAGAAAGATCTGCAGGTATTCTTTCTGTGTCCATATTGTAAAGCAGTGGTCACTTGGCTACTAGACATCACAGGTGCATAACAGATCTCATACCTGGGGAGAGCCTGCTGGAGTATTATCAACAGATGCAGAGGAGCGTTTCTTCTTATGAACAAAAACATTTTTCCGTCTCTTTCTCCTCTTACTGGCTTTTTTCAGGGCACAAGCTAAATTACTATGCCCACCAGGTGGCCTCCCAATTCTTTTATTTTTCTTCTTTCCATAATAGTGTGCTAAATGTGGATGACAAAGAAAAACAAAGTAGCTTCATTATTTCTGTGCACCTCAAAACCACAAGAGATTTTATTAGTGTAGTGGAAAACAGGTACACTGTATTTGACTGAGGTTTAAATTCCATACAGTGGAATAAACAGATCTTAAGTATACAGTTTTATTAGTATTAAAAAGTGCATAAACCTGAATAATTCCCCTATGCCAAGATATAGAACATCTTCATCAATCTAGAAAGTTCCCAGGGTCCCTTTCCCAGTCAGTTCCCCTTACCAGAAGCCATCATTATTCTGATCATTATCACTGTGGATTAGTTTTGATCTATGGAACCACACAGTAGGTACTTTTTTGTGTATGGCTTCTTTCACTCAACATTATGTTTTTGAGTTTCACCTGTGCTGTTGTATAATATGAGTCGTTCTTTCCTTTACATTGATGAATAGCAATCCATTCTAGGAATGTACCAGTTTATCTATTCTCCTGTTATAGGTACTTGGGCAGTATCTAGGTTTCAACTATCATTAAGTTGCAATGAACATTCTTATAAGACTTTTAATGGCCATGTTTTCATTTCCTTGAATACCTAGGAATGGAATTGCTGGATCATAGGATAGATGTATTATTAACTTTTGAAGAAACTACCAATTTTCCAAAATGGATGTATAATTTTACATTCCCACCAGCAATACATGAGATCTAGTTGCTCTACATCTTTGCCAACTTGTAGTCCTGTCTTTTTCATTTTAGACAAATTAGTGGATATGTAGTAATTTTTCATTGTAGTTTTGATTTGCATTTTTCTGACGACTAATGATGTTGTATACTTTTTCATGTGCTTGTTGGCCATTTCTATATCTTCTCATGAAGTATACGTTCATGTCTTTTATTCCTCTTTTAAAACTGTTCTCTTTAAAAATTTTTTTTTGAAATATAATTCACATAACATAAAATTTCACCATTTTAACATGTACAATTCAGTGATTTTTAGTATATTCACTATGTTATGCAACCATTATCACTATCTAATTCCAGAACATTTTATTTCTCTCTTCATTTATTTATTTATTTTACTTGAGGTGAAGTTCACATAACATAAAATTAACCATTTTAAAGTGTACGATTTGGTGATATTTACTGTATTCACAATGTCATGCAACTACCAGCTCTCTTCAGTTTCAAAACTTTTCATTATTAAGTTGTGGGAGTTCTTAATATATTCTGGATAGAAGGTTTCTGTTGGATATATGTATTAAGAATATTTTCTCCTTGGGGGGAGGGGGGGAAATGGGCATTTATTGAAACCTTAAAATCTGTACCCCCATAATATGCCAAAATAAAAAAAAATAATTAAAAAAAAAAAAAAAGAATATTTTCTCCAAATCGTGGCTTATCTTTTCCTTTTTTATACATGGTATTATTCGAAGAGCTGAAGGTTTTAATTTTAGCGATGCTTCATTTATTAATTTTTTTCTTTATGTCAGTGTATTTCTAGGTCCTTTCTAAGAAATCTTTGCCTACCCCAATATCTTGAGAATACTGTCTTTTTCTTCTCTAAAACCTTATAGTTTTAGCTTTTATATTGGGTCTAAATTCTTGAATTAGTTTTGTATAAGAGGTAGGAACCAAAGAGTTTTGTTTTTGTTTTTTTTTTATTTGGATATCCAGTTTTATCTGTGCTATTTGTTAAAAAGAATTTCCTTTCCCTATTAAATGTCTCTGTCATCCTTGTAGAAAACCACTTAACCATAAAAGTTTGGATCTTTTTCTGGACCCTCTATTCTGTCCCACATCACTCATCTGACTATTCTTTAATACCATACTCGGTTTATTATAGCTTTATGGTTAAAAAAAGAGAGAGAGAAAGTCCTGCAACTTTATTCTTCTTTATCTAGATTGTTTTGGCCATTTTAGATCCTTTGTATTTTCATATACATTTTAGAATATAGTGACGATTCTAAAAATGAAACACATTCTAGCTCTGAGTTGTAACTTAAAGTGATATCAAAATAAAATTTTCTGCAAAAAGTGAATTCTTCTAAAGGATGTAAATCCATTTGATATCACTCAAATAACCAACTGGGAAAAATTACAGACTCTCCTAAATTCTAGGCTAATTTCAACTACATCATCGTGAAAGATAAAGTCAGACCAAAAATATAATAAAATATACATATCTTCCTTCCAAAGACTCAACGTGGCGTACTTTTATATGTACTTATATAAATAGTATCTTTTACTTAGCTCCTAATAATTGCCATTTCCTAAACTAAATGCTGAGTCTGATATAATAAAAAGCAAAGACAATCAATCCCTGTCCTTAAGGAGTATACAATCCAATAAATATAAACAGAACTAGAAGGTTAGACTCTTACATGATTTTATAATTCAAATACTAATTAGAAAGCTTGTCATGCTAAGTATGGACCTTGGCGCAGCAGAATCAGTGGCATCTGGGAGCTTGTTGAAAATGCAGACACTCAGGCCCCAGATACCCACAGACCTGATAAATCACAACCTCCATTTGAACGAGATCCTCAGGTGATTTGCATGCACTATAAAGTTTAAGAGGCACAGATCCCTAAAAGAAATCCTTCAAATTGAACAAGGTAAAATCCTCCCCCATATTAATTCTCCCAACTGACATCAAATCACAGCTTATAGGATTTAAGCAAAGGTGGGATCATAATTTTGTCTTTGGGTGGCAATGCCTTGACAAGGCTCCAAATTGGAAATTTAATCGTATATGACCCCTGCCCCAGTTTGAAAAAGGAGAAAATGAGGTAACAGGTGTTGCTGTGACTGTTCAGAGTCAGGTTGCAACTACCTCCTCTGTTGCTATTTCTACCTCGCCAACCACCGTTGGCTTCTTTGCTGCTCTTCACCTGCCTCAAAGCTGTGCCCTTGCTGCCCCCTCCCGAGAGCACTCCCACCAAAGTATCTGTACAGCTGGCTCTTTTCTTTCCTTTAGGTTGTTACCTGTCAGAAGACTTCCTGACCACCTGCACAAAGAGCACCCCATCTCCCAGCCTCCTTACTCTCCTACCTTGCTTGCTTACCTTGCTTCCCTATTCCCCATAATACTTATCTCTCTATATTTGTTCCCTTGTTTATCTGTCTCCTGTATTAAATGTAAACTCATTGAGGATAGGAATTTTGTTCTTTATTGTTGTATGCCAGTGCTGGAACACTGGAAGCACATAGTGGGCACATAATAAATACTTGCAGATTGTATGAATGAATTATAACATTCATACAATTCATGTTGTGTTATTAGACACAACAGCTAATTTATATACATGCTATGTGTAAAAGTTGCATACTAGGGTCCCTGGGTCAATTCTTCAATTTTAAAAGGCTTTTTTTTTTAATTTTTATTTTTTGAGATAGAGTCTCACTCTGTTGCCTGGGCTAGAGTGCCGTGGCATCAGCCTAGCTCACAGCAACGTCAGACTCCTAGGCTCAAACAATTCTCCTGCCTTAGCTTCTCGAGTAGCTGGGACTAAGGGTGTGTACCACCATGTCTGGCTAATTTTTCTATTTTTTGTAGAGATGGGGTCTCACCCTTGCTCAGGCTGGTCTTGAACACCTGACCTCAAGTGATCCTCCTGCCTTGGCCTCCCAGAGTGCTAGGATTACAGGTGTAAGCCACCACGCCCAGCCTAAAAAAAGGTTCTTAAAAAATGAAAACAAGAAAAAAACCAAAAAAGAGTATGTGACAGAGGTCATAAGACCTACAGCATAAAATATTTATTATCCGGCCCTTTATAGAAAAAGTTTCTATACCTCTGCTATTAGTATATATGAATGTCTGTAAAAGAAAAAAACTTTCCAGGATGTAAGGTATGGTCAGCTGCTATAGTTAACACATTGGAAAAACATGACTCACTGTATTTGGTCTTTGTAAGTACAGAACAGTTCTCAGAACACTTATCCAGAACCATCCGTGGACCGAAGAGGTTAGGACAGCATTCCAGTTTGATACAGGTTTGCCGGCAGAATTCAGTCACTCGATCTGCTGTTTTCACTATCTCAACAGTAGCCCGATAACTCTTTCCTTTATATCTGCCATTGGAAGACATCAGATGCCAAATTTACTGGGCTAATGATTACCCAGAGAAAAGTCTAACATATAAATATATCTGAAAGGTATTTTTTGCTTCTTGGAATATCCTTTGTCCTTTATAGTTTGAGGACTCTGAAAACAATAAGGAAGTTCTGCATATTGTACTTAAACCAAATTAAATCCGGTAAGTTACAATAACTAAGAGCTGAGTTATTTACATTAACAAAATGAAGTTCCTGCTTTCTTTTCCTAAGTTAGGGTTTTCAAATAGCAATTTCACTAACTAGTATAAAAAGAAAAGTGATTTCTCACTAAGTCTTTCTTTACCCTGGGCAGTGATGCTCAGAGTGTGGTCCAAGAACCAGTACAACCTGACAATTGTCATACATCTATGATAAGATCAGGTCAGAAAACAAGAGTAAATGTTTGTAAATTTTCACAGTAATTTGAAAAAGTAATTTTATGTCTTTTAAATATAATAACAAAAAATTATTATTGCATTTTTGTATCTTTTAAATCTCGTATTTCTTTTTTTGTTTGTTGTTTTTTTTGTGTGTGAGACAGAGTCTCGCTTTGTCATCCTGGGTAGAGTGCAGTGGCATCACTGTAACTCACTGCAACCTCAAACTCCTGGCTCAAGTGATCCTCCTGCTTCAGCCTCCTGAGTAGCTGAGACTACAGGCACGTACCACGATGCCCAACTAATTTTTCTATTTTTAGTAGAGGTGGGGTCTTGCTCTTGCTCAGGCTGGTCTGGAACTCCTGAGCTCAAGCAGTCCTCCTGCCTTGGCCTCCCAGCATGCTAGGATTACAGGCGTGAAGGCACTACGCCTGGCCCAGATTTCATATTTCCTATGATTCATTTTTACCATATTTTATAAATGTATTGATCCTTGACAGAATGGAAATCTAAAAAAGAAAATGAGCCTGGTCCTTCACCACAAATAGCTGAAGAAGCACTGCCCTAGGAAATATAATCATTCTGATATCCACAGAACTGATTCTGTGACCTATTAAAGACAAATACGAGTAAAGGACAGAGCAGTCTACTCACTTGGCTTTTAGGATTTCCCCACATCCATGCCACACAGAGTCTTTGTCCAGCTGGAGCTCCCGAAGGACACGACTGGGTTTATAAGCTGCATTGATAAGTAAAGTGAGGACCTGAGCTCGGTTTTAAAGCAAAAATATGGGTTGGGAAGGAGAAAAGCAAACCATTAGAACCACAGCACTCTTGCTATACCTCAGAATGTTACCGTCATTTAGTATTAATTCTAGTCATATTAATTAACAAACATTAACCAAATAATAACAAAGATATGACAGCTGCCCAAAGTTGCAATAAGAGAATAACCAGATCCTTTTAAATATTCAAAATGTTATGGTCAGGAAAAAAACAGGCACCGTTCATGAATTTCAAATTACTCTAGCACATACTTTCAAATGCTTTCCCAGCCATGATACACAGAAAATTTTATTTGTTTGGAACACTAGGTAGACACCTAAGCATTCTCATGGCTGGAAGAGTCTGCCTTGCCACCCTGAGGGCTAAACTGTTCAGTATGTCCTCATATCTGTTACATGCCGTACAACGCACTGGCTCTTGTATAACTTTATCACAGACCCTAGACTAATGCCACACAGCCTCTCATTGTACACTAAATTCACAGTTCACTCTTACACAGTTCTCATGTGGTCTCTGGCAGGTGACCTTTCTACACTGACAGAGGTGAACCTGCTATGTGAAGAACTGCTTAGGTGAATGTTTCCTAGGGAGTAGAAATAACAACATGCCCGGCTCCCTGTCTAATACACGAGAAAAGTTAGTAACTTCTGATAAAACCTAGAGTTGTCATGTCTATGGCATGCACCTCCCTGTATGAATGAGCCTAGGAGAATGCTGTGAACTTTCAAAGCTCTTTTGCTCTAGGCCAGAATCTTACCTCTCTAAGGACCAGAACACAGTTCCCAGGCCCTACACATTGAGGCAGCTCAGCAATTCTTCCTTTATTAAGATATGGCCCTGAGAAGCAACGGTGGTTGAAGTATATCTTTGGACAGCAATATTTTCCATTAATTACAACTGAGAAATGAAGAGAAACAAATATTCAGAACAGTCATTTGCTACCTCATGTTCCCAAAGCTGAATTACCAAGGGAAAAATATATGCCATTGTATAAAGTTCAGAATTACATATTTTGAAGTTTAACATTATTGTCTGAGAATACTCTTGAAATACCTTATAATACAAAGCTTATACGTACCTTATTCTTACTTACAGAGCTTATCACTAGGCTAAAATCAAACAATATACTGAATTACATGCCGACCAGTTCCTGGGATAATGCAATATTTTGTTCTAGAGCCCTATACTTCTATTGCTAAAGGAAGTAGAGGATCTATTTCAAGAACCCTTGATGATTCTAGATGATCAATAATTTCTTTACTAGGTCATCAAAACCCAACTATTCAAAAATCTATTATGGAATATTTCTAGGAATTGATGGTGAATATTATTTAGAACTACTGTTTGCCTCCTTAAAATCACCAAACTAATATGGCAGCTTTTGATGTGTGGGAGTTCTCCCATTTCTGAGGGCTAAAGTATGCTACGACCACATCTCCACGTTCTTCTTGTACTGTGTGGTGTAACTGGGCCTTAAGACCCCTCTTCAACTATTTCTATGAATACTATACTTCATAATTTTTTTTTAAATCTCCTCATAGTGGTTGGCATTTCAGCTATGTGAAAAATTCAAACACTAAAACACCTTCATTTTGATATAAAGCAGAGAGTAGCTCTTCTGATAGATACTGCCCATTTATCCAACATTAAGAAAAGAGATGCGTGCACACTGCCCACTGTTGACAGGACAGAAAGTTCATACTGCTCTAATTAAGAATGCAGTCTTAAGCCAGGCGCGGTGGCTCACGCCTGTAATCCTAGCACTCTGGGAGGCTGAGGCGGGCGGATTGCTCAAGGTCAGGAGTTCGAAACCAGCCTGAGCAAGAGCAAGACCCTGTCTCTACTATAAATAGAAAGAAATTAATTGGCCAACTAATATGTATAGAAAATTAGCCGGGCATGGTGGCGCATGCCTGTAGTCCCAGCTACTCGGGAGGCTGAGGCAGAAGGATTGCTTGAACCCAGGAGTTTGAGGTTGCTGTGAGCTAGGCTGACGCCATGGCACTCACTCTAGCCTGATCAACAAAGCGAGACTCTGTCTCAAAAAAAAAAAAAAAAAAAAAAAAAGAATGCAGTCTTAGCACAGTGGTCAGCATGTTGGTGCCTACGTTCCCGTTTGAACTCTGCCACCCAGATCCTCCTCTTCAGAATTAAGGCACTCATGCCCCTGTTGATGGGAATGTTTGCAGCTTACAACTCTCAGTTCTAAGTCTATCCTGGAATTGCCCTGAGCTAGGGACCACCCTTAGTAGGAGAGAGACACTATGCCCCTTGTGAGGTAGGGAGGGAGCAGAGGCCCACTTCCAATAACTGGTCTATAAGGTGTGGCTACTATGCCTGAATCAGGGACAACTTTGAGTGGCTATATCAGCTTCAAGGCTCCCCATGGAACTAGAAGAAACTTCTGTTGCAAGTGCATTGTTGTTCAACTTCACTCTGCTGAATCCTGCTTCCTTTACTCTCCTCCCAAGAGCCGTTTCCAAAAATTGTCTCCAATGAAACTCCTACATGCAATACTGGAGTCTCAGACTCTGTTTCCCAGGGAACCTGACCTATGACAAAAACCCAAACCAGAAGGCCTTGGCTTAAGTCATGTAGGAGATATTAATGCCTTAATCCTGTGGTTTCAGTAGGCATTAGAATGGCCATCGATGCATCAAAAACAAGTAGATGAGCTCCTGTAGACCCAGGTACTCGGAAGGCTGAGGTGAAAGGATGACTTGAGCCCAGGAATTTGAGACCAGTCCGGGCAACACACTGAGACCCCATCTCAAGGAAAAAAAAACCCCACCAAACAAACAAAAAGCCCAAGGAGTTACACAGCCCTAATCCTCTATGGATAAATGATGTAATAAAAAGGTAGTAGGTGGAAGAGACAGAAGTATAGGTGTCCAACTTGAGAAGGATCTGAGTTGCATTTCTGGCTCTTCTACTCAGAAGCTGTGTGACCTCTCTGAGCTTTACTTTGCTTTCTTTTGTAGGCATTTAAAAAATATCATTAAAATGCCCAATCTGTGCTAGAATCTACACAGCCAAGATGCTAAGCATTATACAACCAGCACAGGGGAAGTTAAGAGTAGTTCAAGAGAGATACCTGGACAAAAGGCTTGAACCTCCAGCAAGGATCTTTGTCTTATTTATTGGGCACTGACTCTCTTTTTCCAGTGCTTTTTTTTTAATGTATATATATAAATTGTGAAACGTATATACAAAGGTGTGCCTATTATAAGAAGAGTTTTAAAAAGAATAACCCCCTCACCTCTCACCCACCTAGCTTAAGAAAGAACACTCCCTAGAGGCTGAGCGTGGTGGCTCAGCCTGTAATCCTAGCACTCTGGGAGGCCGAGGCGGGAGGCGGGCGGATCGCTCAAGGTCAGGAGTTCAAAACCAGCCTGAGCAAGAGCAAGACCCAATCTCTACTAAAAATAGAAACAAAATTAATTGGCCAACTAATATATATAGAAAAAATTAGCCGGGCATGGTGGTGTGTGCCTATAGTCCCAGCTGTAGTCCCAGCTACTTGGGAGGCTGAGGCAGAAGGATTGCTTGAGCCCAGGAGTTTGAGGTTGCTGTGAGCTAGGCTGCTGCCATGGCACTCACTCTAGCCTGTGCAACAAAGTGACACTCTGTCTCAAAAAAAAAAAAAGAACACAGCCTAGAAAGCCTCAGGTTCTTTAAAGTCAGGGATGATATTAACCACCAGAGCCCTTGGTATAAACAGGTGATCAGTGAAGAATAGCTACAATTATTAGAAATGGGCAGAAAGATCAGCCTAGAGATGATTATTAAACTAAATACATCTTAGTTTTAACTCTAAAGTCACAAGCAATCTATGAAGCCACATGTTATAAATCAAGTGTATTATTAAAATTATTTTCAGACATAGTACATTAAAGGAAACTAACGGTTCTCTTTTCTGTAAGATTATATACACTCATACCTGAGTCTGTGGAGTTCAGCTCCTGATTCTTCAGGCCCTCATGGACAGTCCTTGATGATGGTACTCTGGGTCAAGAAACACAGCAAAATAGTGAGATAATTCTTAAGACCAGTAAAGCGTAAGGGTTAGTTTCCTTCAACTCTACGAGGAAAATAAATGTGGCATGCTGCAAAATATATAATAAAAGGTACTCTCCCCTCCTTTTTTTTTTTTTAAGGAGACAGCCTTGCTTTGTCACCCAAGCTGGAATGCAGTGGCACAATCATAGCTCACTGCAGTCTCAAACTCCTGGGCTAAAACAATCCTCCTGCCGTGGCCTCCGAAAATGCAGGTATTATAGGCATGAGCCACTCCATCTGGCTGATCATACTTTAAAAAAGGAAAAACAAACCAGCAATTGCTTTTAAAACTATGTACAGAGTCTAATGAGTCAATGGATAGTCTTTAGACAGCATTGTGCTACATGTTCAAACAGTCTTTTCATTCATATAAGCATCTAAATAATTAAATGATTTATTTTTTCAATAGTCACAGAACAGAAACGTTTCTTGTATAGGGTCATTTTCTTCATCCATCAGTTTCAAAATTAAAGACAAATTATGTTAAAAAAAAAAAAAAACAGAGACTTAGTGTAAATGCAGCAATCACTGAAAAAGGCTAATATAGCTAGGTGTGGTGGCATGTACCTGTAGTCCCAGCTACTTTGGAGGCTGAGGCAGGAGGATCACTTGAGCCCAGGAGTTTGAGGCTACAGTGAGTTATGATCATGCCACTGTATTCCAGCCTGGGCAACAGAATGAGACCCTGTCTCTTAAAAAAAAAAAAGGAGGGGGGTGCTAATAAAAGACTAATTTATCTTTTTTAGAATGTTTCCTGACTAAAGTTTTGGATCAGTTTTCACAATTAAGTCAAGGAAAAATCCAAGGCCAGTTTTTTGGTCACTGTTATCTCACCTCTCTACCTGGTATAAAATTCTACTGCCTTTCTCTCCATTATTATTATAATTTTTTTTTTTCAGAGACAGAGTCTCACTCTGTCACCCAGGCTGGAGTATAGTGGCACAATCATAGCTAACTGCAACTTGAAACTCCCAGGCTCAAGAAATCCTCCTGCCTCAGCCTCCTGAATAGCTAGGACTACAGGTGTGTGCCACCATGCCTAGCTAATTTTTTATTTTTTGTAGAAATGAAGTCTTACTATGTTGCCTAGGCTGGTCTTGAACTCCTGGACTCAAGCAATCCCCTCCTGCCCTCGGCCTCCCAAAGTGCTGGGATTATAGGCGTGAGCCACCATATGCAACCTCTCTCCACTTGTATTGTCAGTTTTATTTCCCACATAGCTACAAAGGTAGTTATGAATTATATAGTAGGGAAGTATAGAATTTGCTATATATGGAACTGTGTGCCCCCCCAAATTCATATGTTGAAGCCCTAACCCTCAATGTAACTGTAAATGGAAATAGGACTTTTGGGAAGTAATTAAGATTCAATGAGGTCATAAGGGGGCCCTAATCCAACAGGATTGGTGGCCTTATAAGAAGGGGGGTAGTGGGAGGGATCTCTCCACCATGTACAGACAGTGAAAAGGCAGCCATCTGCAAGCTAGGAAGAGAGCCTTCACCAGGAGCCAAATGGAATAGTACTTTGACTTCCTAGCCTCCAGAATGGGAGAAAATAAATTTCTGTGGTTTAAGCCATTCAGTCTATGGTATTTTATATGGCAGCCCAAGCAGACTAATATAGAATTCAACAGCTGATATTTTAAAACACACATGTACACACAGCAGCCTTTGTATTTTGTAAGGTTTGAAGGCATCGCTAATTAATTGCTTCTTAAAAGTTGTATGTGAAGGTATGCTATAGAGCTTCTTGAAGGACACAAAGCTACTCCGTTGAGTGTGAATTTCTTTTAGAGTTGTCTTCTACTTCAAGTATTTTTTGATTGTGACAAATCATATCCTGATTTACAATTTTTACTCTTCCTTAAAAAAAATACCAGCATAGGGACTCTCATTTCCTTTCTTTTATCCAAATGTGTCAGGTTCTGAAAGCCAAAGAAAAATCAATTTAGGGAATATCTTGAGAATGTATTTTACACTTTTGTATGTAGTGCCATTTAAAAAAAATGCATATACTGTTAAAGAGAAGTATATAAATGACTAAAGGTTGAATTCAGGCCAGGCACAGTGGCTCAGGCCTATAATCCTAGCACTCTGGGAGGCTGAGAAGGGAAGACTGCTTGAGTTCAGGAGTTCAAGACCAACCTGAGCAAGAGCAATACCCCATCGCTACTAAAAATAGAAAAAATTAGCCAGGTGTGGTGGCATGTGCCTGCAGTCTCAGCATTTGAGCCCAGGGAATGCCCAGGCAACAGAGACTCTGTCTCTCAAAAAAAAAAAAAAAAAAGTTAAATTCAAAGATTATCCTTTCATCTGAGAAAATAACATAGGAGATGTACTCTCTGAAATAGTTATTTATTTTTCTAGATATTCTAACTTTCAAATGTCAACTGTTCAGATATACTATTACATTACTTACTGTTTTTCTGGTTGAACCACTGCAATTTTCCTCTGTTTATGTACTGTAAGAAGAAAATAAAAATATAAATACCAGGGAAAATAAAAAGACAAAAGAAAATTTATATATGTATTAAGATTACACTAGCATATGTAAAACTTGATTTTATGTATGTATAACTAGCAAGTACTATAAATTAAATATCTAGACTAAGGCACATTTTCTGGGTAGAGGTCTTTAGACAAAGAGCAAAAACATTTTCAAGGCTCCCTGTGTTAATCAACTCCTATGAATATTTTCTAAGCAAAAATAGATATTCAAAAGAAAAACTGACTTGCCATGGGTGCCAAGCCCATTACAAATGGTGCTGGGAAAACTGGATATCCACATGAGTGAAGTTGGACCCTTACGATATATCATATATAAAAATTAACTCAAAATTGATCAAAGATCTAACCATAAGAACTAAAACTATAAAACTCTTACAGAAAAACATAGGAGAAAAATCTTCCTGACACTGGATTTGTCAATGATTTTTTTACCATATGACTTGCAATTCCCACTCCTGAGGATACACCCAAGGGAAATGAAAACATACATCCATATACTGCTAACAGCTTATGGGGGTTTCTTTCTGGAAGGATGAAAATGTTCTCAAATTGACTATAGTGATAGTTACACAACTTTGCGACTATACTAAAACCACTGAATTGTATACTTTAAAGGAGTGAATTTCATGGTATATAAATTATATCTCAATAAGCTGTTTAAAAGGGGGGAGAGAGGGAAGGAGAGAGGAGGTGTGATGTCACTTCCAAGATTAGGTTGCAGAAAGACTCTGGCTTCCATCTTGCTGAACCTCTTTTGCTTCTTCATTCTGATGGAAACAAGTTGCCATGCTATAAGCTGCCCTACAGAGAGGCCCACATTGCAAGGAACTAAGGAAAGCCACCAGCCAACATCCAGCAAGGAGCTCAGGTCCTCAGTCCAACAGCCCACAAGGAGATAATTTTTGCTATTATGGTATGAATGTTTGTGCCCCCTAAAATTCATAATGAAACCCAATCACCAATGTGTTGGTATTAGGAGGTGGGGTCTTTGGATGGTGCTCTACTCTCATGATTCAGATTAGTGTTCTTATAAAAGAGACACCAGAGACCTAGTAGTCTTTCCAGCATCTGAGGACATAGCAAGAAGGGACCATCTATGAACCAGGCAATGCACCCTCACCAGACACTGAATCTGCTAATGTCTTCATCTTAGACTTCCCAGCCTCCAGAACTGTGAGAAATAAATTTCTATATTTGTAAATAACCCATTCTGTGGTATTTTGGTATAGTAGCTAGAATGGACTAAGACACCTGACAATAATCATCTGAATAAACCTGGGAGCAGATCCTCCCCTAGTTGGGCCTTGAGATGACTACAACCCTGGTTGACACCTTGATCATAGCCTGTGAGAAACCTGGATCTAGAGGACCCACCCAAGTTGTACTCAGATTCCTAACCCATAAAAACTATATGATATTAAATGTTTACAACAATAAATCATTTCTTATGCAGGAACAAATAACTAGCATATCATTTTGTTCTTCTCTGAAATGTCCAGATTCATCCTAATTGGTAGCAGCCACCCAATAAATCCTCTAATAGACAGATACCTCGTGCTCGGCGAGGAGTGCTGAGGGGGTGGCCATTGGTTTCACACCAGCCCAAAGGAAATATATCCATGGATTCCACACTCACAATGCATTCAGGTATAGGCTTCTTAGAACCTGTTCAGGATTAAAAAAAAAATTTTTTTTAGACTATTAAATAACCTTCTTCATAAACAACTTTCTAGACAAGGTTCTACTCTTGCAGTAATACATACACAAGTCCCTTGAGCAAGTATCTTTTACATGGAAGTTATACTTTTTCATGTATGATAAATGTTAGGAAGAAAAGTAAACTGTCCCCAATGTATGCTGCGTAAGGACCAAAATGGGTACAGGTGAATATACAAGGTGACCTTTACCTAGGGAACAGCAAATAAGCAACTGGAACTACCACTGGTATTATTCAAATGGTTAATAAATATTATAGTCACTTGCTTGAAATAACTGGAAACCAAAAGACAAAAGTGACAGTTCTACTCAATAAGAACAATACTTTTGTTACTCCAGGAATAAGCCAGAAAGTAGAACAGTTAATTCAAATCAGGAAGTGATCTGACAAGTTGCTCAGCAGGGGCTGCATAAACTTTTACATTCAGTGTTGTCCTTGAAATATGTGTTAAATGCTAATTCTACAAATCAGAAACAGAATCAGACTCTTCTCAGACTCTGACCATTTGGCAGCAGGATAAAAAAGAAACCCAGGCCACACATAGTAACTGTGGCACTGAGTACTCACATGGTGCCTTCCATCCTGAAACCTGTCCAATCACTGAATATTACTTTTAGTTGAATATGTCATTTTAACTTTATATACTTCTTTGTTCTATTGAGCTGGGGCAACTAATATACTATCTCTTCAATAAACTAGGTGTTGGCCAGGCGCAGTGGCTCATGCCTGTAATCCTAGCACTCTGGGAGGCCAAGGCAGGCGGATTGCTCAAGGTTAGGAGTTCAAAACCAGCCTGAGCAAGAGCAAGACCCCATCTCTACTAAAAATACAAAGAATTAATTGGCCAACTAATATATATAGAAAAAATCAGCCGAGCATGATGACGCATGCCTGTAGTCCCAGCTACTCGGGAGGCTAAGGCAGGAGGATCGCTTGAGCCCAGGAGTTTGAGGTTGCTGTGAGCTAGGCTGACGCCACGGCACTCACTAGAGCATGGGCAACAAAGTGAGACTCTGTCTCAAAAAAAAATAAAAAATAAACTAGGTGTTAATGCTCACACTTGCCTATTTTGGTCACATCAAAATACATGCTATTTGATTTATCCTTTCTTCTTCCTGAAAATGGGGGACTCTGTAGTAAAGGATTTTTATTCACATTCATTTCCTAAAACTTGAAATTTTTCAGAGCCAGGGAGAGAAAATAAATTTTTAGCTTAGAATCCTGTATTACAAATTAGAAGTCTCTGGATAGGATCCCTATTTAAGTAATCCATTAAGTTTAAGCCACACTGCAGGTACAAGAGTAAACAGGAAGAGCAAAGAAGAGTAGCCATAGGAAGGCTTCTTAGGAGTGCTGGCACTTACCCTCCAGCTGGAGCCACAGGTAGGAGCCTCTCACTGCAGTGATGGTGGCAACACACACTTCTTCAGGGAGAACAGGGTTCACCGCCTCAAGCTTCATGTTTTCCTTAAATTCATGCTCAGAAATGGACTAGAAAACGAATGACTCAAATGCATTTACTGGACTAACACTCAGTATTAACTCAATGTGTTCAGCTTTCAGAAGACCTTTTTCAAGTAGTACTTAATCCCTCTAGGTTTACTTTAAAAGCTACAAATTTATTTTGTACTCTTTTGCTCTTAATGAAGCAAAGGGAAAATGTGTGCCCTTCTTAGTGTTATAGGCAGTATGGTCCTTCAGGTCAGATAGTCCTGCATTACTGATAGCTGTATGACCTTGCCCAAGCTATGGAACTTTTTTGCCTCAGTTCTTCACCTGTCAGATGAAGTTGAGGACACCTATCTTGCTGGGTTACTACAAAGTATCAATGAAATGATATATATAAGGTTCTGTGTCCTGAACCACGTGGCTCTCAACAACTGTTGGTTCACTTCCTCTCTCATAAAGGGCCTGTACAATAAGCTGCCTGGTTCATAACTATATGTGTTTCATAAAAGGCAGTCAGGATAAAGAATGCTTATGAACAGAGGAAAGAGTCATTTAAAATAGAAAAATTTGTAGCTTTGGGGTCAAAATGGACAAGTGAACATCTGCATTTCATTGTTTTCTGACAACCAACTAAAACTAAAATTGTTTTTGTTTTTAAGGACAACTCTTAACAGGATGCATATATCAGGAGAGGAAACAACATTATATGAACTGAAATTAGAATAGGGTGTAAAAACTAAGTTCGCATATTAATGAAAGGTACAGTAAAGAGAGCTAAGAACTGGCAAAAACAGGTACTAGGCAATTGAAGTGGAGGAGAAATATTTAAAACAAGGATTTGCTGAAAACATTCAAGAAGCATTTAGGTTAGACCACTGACTCCTCCACTCTACATCACAGGGCAACTGTCCCTTTTTCTCCCCCAAAGAGATTTACCCTCTAGACAGTGTAAGACATAAGATCCCTGGGTAGGACACAAGCAACTGCTGAGGGCATGCATGTGGTGCCCAAAACAGGAATTAGCATATGGAATGCTGAAAGGCCCAGCCCTTGCCTCTACTATCAAGCAGAGGACTAGAAGAGACCTTTTATGATAATATGACAACCCTAAGAAGAAACACATAAAAATCTGGAGTTAGGTTTCTTCAACAAATGGTCAGCCAGATCTCACCCATAGGAAAGTTTAAGGTTGACAAACTCCATCCACATGTTTAGAGTTTTCTTTCTTTCTATTTATTTATTTATTTTTGAGACAGAGTCTCACTCTGTTGCCCAGGTTAGAGTGAGTGCCATGGCGTCAGCCTAGCTCACAGTAACCTCAAACTCCTGGGCTCAAGCAATCCTTCTGCCTCAGCCTTCCAAGTAGCTGTGACTACAGGCATGCGTCACCATGCCCGGCTAATTTTTTCTATATATATGTTTAGTTGCCCAATTAATTTCTATTTTTAGTAGTGACAGGGTCTTGCTCTTGCTCAGGCTACCACGCTCGGCCCCTAGAGTTTTCAATCAGCTTTTTTAGTCCCCCATTCTTAAATATAAGCAACAACCAAGAATTACCAGATATCTAAGGAGATGAAAGCCAGAGACCAAAACAGATAAAACAAGCAACTTATAGAAAGCAGAGATTATGTTAAGAAGAAAACCTCAGGGGTTGGATGGGGTGAGGGTGTTATTTAATATCCTTCTGAGAGGTAAGGAAAACCATTGCATCCTTAGAGCAGAAAGAATAAAGAACCATTCAAAGAAGAAATATAATTCCAAAAAATAAAAAACATGGTATCAAAAACTAAAAATTCAAAAGAAAAGTTGAAAGAGAAAATTTAGGAAATCTTCCAGAAAACAAAGCAAAAAAGACAAAGAAAGAGAAAACAAGAGACAAAAAGGTAAGAAAAGTAGAGGTTTGAGTCAGAGGGCCAACATCAAAATAAAAGAAATTCCAGAAAGAGAAGAGAGAAAATGGAAGGAAGGAAATCAAAGAAGTGTTCAAGAAAATTTCCCAGGACAGACAGGCATGAGGGTCTGTCTGAGATTCTCACAGAGAAAGTGCCCAATGAGAACCCAGCACAATGGATGAAAACAGGCCCACATCAAGGCTCATCACTATGAAAATTGGTGACAAAATGATTCTATAATCTTCCTGGGAGGAAGATCATCTACAAAAGATCAGCACTGGTCATCTACAAAAGATCAAGAATAAGAATGGCTTTCAACTAACTTCTCGACAGCAACACTAGAAGTTAGAAAACAACTGAGCAATGTTTTCAATACTCTGAAGTAAAATAATTTCCAAACTAAAATTCCATATTGAGCCAAACTATGAATTAAGTTAGTAGAATGAAGGCATTTTCAAATACACAGTGTCTACAAAAATTTACCTCCCTTACACTCTGTTACAGAAAGCTCCTGAGAAATGGGCTCTACCAAAACAAGGAAGTAAATCAAGAAAGAGGTGGCCCGGAGACATATAAAACAGGTGGCCTCAAATCATGAGAAAGGGGAGAGAGCAATTCCTTGGGTGACACTGAAGGGCAATTCCATGATTACAACTACATGGTGAGCCTAGAGAGCAACCCATCCAGGGAGAGAGAGTGGAGGCTGCTATGAAGGCTGCCTCTAAGAAAAATGTTAGGAATGACAGATTTGTTGGTATCACTGCTTCTATGGAGATAGTAATGAGATGCTACTGGGAGGTGTGGAAAGAGCTAGCAATAGAAACAAAGAAATTAAGCAAATGAAAAACAAGGTAAATAAAAAAAGGAAACAATCATAAAATACTGCAGTGCTCAGCTGTGAATATTTGAATGCATATAATGTAAAAATTCAATTGAGATTTAACCAAAAATTATAATATAACTCTAAAGAAAGAAGTAGGTAAGACGGAGGAGAAAGGTAATGTAAAATACCTAAATGCTCATTGACCATAATACAGAACTAAGAAACATGTCCAAAATTAACGACTCAAAAGATAGCAGCTTATTATTTTGAAAATGAGGCCGGGCACGGTGGCTCACGCTTGTAATCCTAGCTCTCTGGGAGGCCAAGGCGGGAGGATTGCTCAAGGTCAAGAGTTCAAAACCAGCCTGAGCAAGAGCGAGACCCTGTCTCTACTATAAATAGAAAGAAATTAATTGGTCAACTAATATATATATATATATATATGTGTATATATATATATATAAATAAAATTAGCTGGGCGTGGTGGCGCATGCCTGTAGTTCCAGCTACTCGGGAGGCTGAGGCAGGATGATTGCTTGAGCCCAGGAGTTTGAGGTTGCTGTGAGCTAGGCTGACACCACGGCACTCTAGACTGGGCAACAAAGCGACTCTGTCTCAAAAAAAAAAAAAAGAAAAAGGACAATGCTGGAATTACAGTGAGAAGAATAGGAGGTGGTTACTTCTGGGAAAGGAGACTGTGGAAAGGGGTAGGGTAGGGACTGCTGTTTTACTTTCTCAACCATTTACTGCTATTTGGCCCTTTAAATCATATGCATGTATTACTTGGATAGAAGTATTTTTAAATAAGCTTAATAATATTTCTCCACTTAATATTTTCAACATTTTTCCACATTAAACCATCAAAAATAATTATGAAATAAAATTTCAAATTCATATGATTTCAACTACTAAGAACAATTAAACTGATAAACTTACAAAACTAACTTAACTAGCAAACTAAATGATTAACTTCTGTAGTAAGCATATTTTTCTTTGGAACATTTTATTAGAATCACCAAGGTGCTCATCTGGGTTGAGTGAGATGATTCCTTTCTTAGTGATAATCGTAACAAGCAAGAGAAGCACAGCAGTGACGGCAGCCCTGAAGCAGTGGCCACAAAGGCTGCAAGGGGTTCTCACCGAAGGAAAGCACCTCTGGGGAGCAGCTTCAGCACCACACTGTTTGAGGTAGTCAGCCCAGTCAAAGTCCTGGCTTGGGTAGCCTAGGTGAGGATAAAAGAACAACAATTCACACTATACCTACTTGCCTGGCTTTACCACTCTGCCAGGGGTCCACCCACAACTTCCAATGCTAATTTGAGGACTTGGATAATGTTAGAGAGGGTGGAAAGCACTCTATAAATTCAAAGCATTGTTAGTTTTATAAAAGAGAGCAACTCTTGGCCGGGCGCGGTGGCTCACGCTTGTAATTCTAGCACTCTGAGAGGCCGAGGCGGGCGGATTGCTCAAGGTCAGGAGTTCAAAACCAGCCTGAGCAAGAGCGAGACCCTGTCTCTACTATAAATAGAAAGAAATTAATTGGCCAACTAATATATATATATAAAAAATTAGCCGGGCATGGTGGCTCGTGCCTGTAGTCCCAGCAACTTGGGAGGCTGAGGCAGTAGGATTACTTGAGCCCAGGAGTTTGAGGTTGCTGTGAGCTAGGCTGACGCCATGGCACTCACTCTAGCCTAAGCAAGAAAGCGAGACTCTGTCTCAAAAAAAAAAAAAAAAAAAAAAAAAGAGAGCAACTCTGGTCAAGCTATAACAATACAATGAAATTCTCTGGATAAATTTTTAAACTTTTAAATTTCAAACAAATCATTTATTTTGAGCAATATTTTATATGATTAGTTGCTGGCAATTTGCCAAAAGAATTTAAAATAGTTATGACTAGATTTGATCAGTATACATATAAATCCTGTCTTATTATCGATTCTATTAGGACTTAGGCTCTGAGGAAAAGTGATGGCAAATACTACTAGTTAATCAACAAAGACTTCTTTGATAAAGCTATTTCCTTAATGTCTTAGCTACTACTGATAAAATGCTGTCAGCATTGTTTTCAGATTCATGTACTACTATATAGAATCAAAGCTTTTATAACTGGAATCATGAATCCATTTCAGAAAAAAATGTTGAGCTTAACTCCCTACTTAAGTCTACCAAGGATCTTGATGGAAGCATCTCCAATCTGCTGCCTTAATTCAGCACCATGTGCATGCAAGGAACTCAGAGAGGCCAAATGTCGTCAGTGTCTGAGTTGCTCTCAGCCTCCACAGAGCGTAATGTAATGTCTCACAGGCAACAAAGCAGGCTGCTCAAGACGATGTCCTCCCATAGCCAAACAGCCCCTGCAGTCACCTTCCCTGCCCACATGAGACTGGCACCATGTTCTCCCTCTGCCTCCACCTCAATTCCTGACAGTACATTTTCTGCCATTTTCAATTTCATAATCTACTACTTTGCTTCTATTTACAAAGATAGCTGACCTGTCTGTAACAATGCCGACAGCTCTGATATCTTTAACAATTGTTTCTTCCTTTTCACTTAAAGATGGAAAGAAAGATAAAGAACTTGGGATGTCCAGAGTCTTCCTGGAAACCAAGAACTTCCTTCTGTGCATGTTCCTCACACACTCTCCAACTAGGTACTCCTATACTTTGTTCACTAACAGGAGAACCTGGGAAGTTCTGTTAGTATTTTCCCCTATTTGCCCCTTGAAGGGACTGGGTAGTATTCATTTTTGTCTCCCCAGTGACAAGCTCATGCTAGGCTCACAGCAAACATTCCATAAATGTTTATTGGATGAATGATGATTGAATGGAGGACAAAAGGTTCTGAGTATGACCCTTGTTAACACCAAAGAATACTTCCAGCCCAGTGTTCCAGCAGTCACCATTTAGAAAGCCTACTAATAAAGTACATATAAACTATCAATCAAATAATCTGATTTCCAAATATAAAAAATCATAAACATCTGACATTTTCCAGATACTCTAAATTTAAAAATATTAAAAATTTCAGTCAAGCTCAACTATGTCATAGTTAAGAGTCTTGATTAAAGAAAGGGTCAAAGACCTATATTTTGCAAAGTTGCAAATGCCAGGAAAATGATCTGCTATTTTTCCTACCTATGGGCTCTCTGAGTCCTTCTCTTGACCACAAACTTCCCTCTGAAGAGTTATCTTCCATGAGAAAGCCCAGACGCCTAGAATTATCAATAATCTTCCTTCTAGCCTTGGCCCTATGGCCTTTTTTCACAGCCAGCTCCCAATGCTTACTGTGCATCCTGGCCCATCTCCCTGTGACTTCCTCACAGATATAAGATGGGATGGACTAAGGAGCCAGCACAGAACCCTGGCTGGAACCTGGTCTTCCAAGTGGTTATGAAGATATCTGTATCAAGGTACAAGGACAGAACATACTCTCATTAACTAACAGTTTTTTAGCTTGATTTTATAACTTTTGAATATGTAAATATATAGAATTCATTTATACTTGTCTCAGGCCCCTAAAATGTCAGGGACAGGCTAGAGCATGAGAGGGACAAGGCAATGCCATCTGACACATCTTATCTCAAGGAAAAGCTCTCCAGTAACAACTCAGAAAACAGTGAATGCACACCTGGAGGGGGACTGATATGTAGGCCATTCTTTAGACTCCACTGCACAGGGAAGATGCCAGGACTGTCGGCATGGCATACAAAGGATCGCCGCACGTGCTCCTCAGGCCGCAAGTCGTCCATTTCCACCAGAAAGTACTTCTCATCAAACACCTGTGTGTGCAATTAACAGATAAAACAAACGGTCTCATATGTATGTATACGAACACCGAGTACGTGTGTATATGTATATATGTTTTTCCCTTGGCACAGCCAAATGTTACAAAAGTTCATAGTTACAAAGTATTAATAATACTAAACACTCAATAAATGCTAGCTCTGTGTCATATAGTAGTGCAGTCCCCAACCCCTGGGCTATGGATTGGTACTGGGCTGTGGTCTGTTAGGGACCAGGCCACAGAGTTCTGTCGCCCCCCTACCCCCTGCACTGCTTGTTTGTGGAAAAATTATCTTCCATGAAACTTAGGAAACGGGTAGGGGATGGCACATAGCAGGAGGTGAGCAGCAGGCAAGCAAAGCTTTGAAGCTTCATCTGTATTTACAGCCGCTCCTCACTGCTAGCATCACGCCTTGAGCTCCCCCCACCCCACCCCAGGGTGGAAAAATTTTCTTTCATGAAACCAGTCCCTGGTGCCAAAAAGGTTGGGAACCACTGATAATATACAAACATATGATTACTATTTTAATTAAATGCTTTCGTGTATCAATTCAATTTTAATCTTCCTAACAACCTAACAACCATTACCAACTCCATTTTGCAGATAAGGAAAATGAGTTTAAACAAAATTTAAAAACTTGTCCTAGGCTTCAAAGCCAGGAAAAAGCAGAACCTGGATTCAAACCCAAGTAGTTGGTCTCCAAACAAAATTTAGTTAAAGTTTAGTGAGGAGTCAACTACACCAGTATGTATTAGTTTTTCAGATCCTAGCTAGCCCAGTTCCAAATGCCAAAGAGAGAATTTTTTTAAATCTCCTGACTTCTTACTATCCCACATCCCTTCATACTCCAGATAGGGCCTTCTGACCTCACTTGCAGGTTCAGAATCCCTTTCTCTGAGAAAATTCTTCCAAGACAGGAAAAATTTAAATCTTAACAGGTTAGATGATTCAGCATCCAAGTGACTATTCATTCCTATAGTCACAGTCAATTCGGGGTTCTACTTTCAACTTTGGTTCTATTTCTGCTGCAGTCCTAAACTGAAACCTACTCCCTAATGCCTCGGTTGGAGTGACTGAGTAACTAGGCTTTGATAACCAGCTCAATTCTTACTGTTACCCCAACAAGAGCCTTATTTTTTTTTTTTTTAGAGACAAACAGAATCTCGCTCTATCACTCTGGGTAGAGTGCAGTGGTATCACATAGCTCACAGCAACCTCAAACTCCTGGGCTCAAGCAATCCTCCTGCCTCAGCCTCCTGGGTAGCTGGTACTATAGGCGCGTACCACCACACCCAGCTAATTTTTTCTATTTTTGGTAGAGATAGGGTCTTGCTCTTGGTCAGGCTGGTCTTGCTCAAACTTCTGACCTTGAGCGATCCTCATGCCTCAGCCTCCCAGGTGTGAGCCACTGCACCCTGAGCCTTACTTTGGTCAGTCTTTGAAAAGATTAAAATCTGAATCTGAAGCACATAGTTGGAACCATCCTACTACCAGATCTTGTCACACTAATTGCCTGATCCTCAGGCATCTTCTCATCTCAATGAGCTGAGCTGTGCACCTGTTTGGACACTAATGATACTACCTGCCTCAAACTTTACAGATACTGTGGCCTACCTGCCAGTTAAATCTCCTTCCCCTATATACTCCTAGGCCTGCTCCAAAGAACATGTCCCCCACTACTCCAGTGCCCAGGCCCTTGTCTGCTTTGGCTAGGACTACCAAGCTCTGAAGAAGGAATGGTGCCACAGAGAACTGGGCAATACAAATACAGAAGTAATTCTAGCCTCACAGCTTAAGAGGAAAAATGGGTTAGATCAGTAGAGTCTGACGATCAAAACATCGCCAATTTTCTAAACCAGTCACCCTAACAAAGATGCTTACCAACAGAGTTATGTTCATTTTACCTTAACGATTGTAGCAGGAGAGATCCCAAAAGGAGACCAGGGGTCCACCGCTTCTAATTTCATATTTACAGCAAACATATGATTGCCAATAACTTGTTTGTCCTATAATGCAAACATGAATAGAGATAAAAACATAGTATTTTTGCATTCATTTTATACTTATATGTAGTTGAATACTACTCTAATTGATTAAAATAGAACTGTCCAGCTTCTGGTAAATCCTATAATTTTTTTCACAGAAAAAAACTTTCTGGGTAAAAACAAAAACACAGAAAGTACTCCTATTCTCTGCATTTGGAATACAATGTGGGATTATCTGGAGGAAAAAACAAATTAATTAATTAACTAATTAATATTCATATCCATAGGCCAAAGTATAATTTGGAAAAGAAAACCGGATGGCTTCAGGACCACTTAACCAAAACACGGAAACTTTAACTGGATCAGAATTACACCTGTCAAGGATTTGGGTAGTACACTTCTCTTTATAGCACCTTCTGAGAGGCACTCTGTGAGTGCTCCAGCTCTCCCCAGACTGGGTATAGGGATGTCCCAGGAATGGTCACATCAACATCAATGTCCAGGCAAACTCAGGGCTCAGAATTCTGGTACAGTACCACTTTTTCCACCACCCCCTTATATTCTACAAGGGTCTCACAGTCAGCAGGTTAAGTCTTCCCTCTCCACCCCCACCAAACCCTGGAAAACTCTAATGCGCCTTTTGACAGCTCCTCCTTCTTGGCCCCTTTCTTCTGGAAGGTAGTCAGGATGTTTACACTCTTCTGGAGTTTCTCCTTCTTCCTGTCACTCATCATGTTCTTCTCTATCAGTTTGGTGATCCCGGTCATCTCTGATGCTGGGAAATCCACCCCTTGGTCTGAGATCTTCCCCATGATCTTTGGGTATTACCCGGCCCACTTCGTCTGTCTCCTTCACACTTGAGAGGTTGCCACGCCCCTGCTTCAAGAGGACCTGGCAGGCCTCCATGCCAGAGGCCCTGATGAACTCCCCAGCCAGGGTGTCATATGCAGGCAGGCAACCAGGCATACCTAGGTAGACCCCTTGCCCTCTTAGCCAGTTCTGGATTGCACAAACTATAACTGCCCCACTATATGGGACTGGGTTTTCAAAGTCCCCATCCTGGAAAAGGTAGAAGATTGGATAGCTCTCTTTGTCCACCTTGTATTTCTCACTCGGCTCCATGTTCAACTTGTCACCATAATCTGAGATCCCACCTCTGCCACCAAGAAATCATCACTGGAAGCCGAGTTTTCAACAAGGTGTTTGAAATTATCCTGCTTCTTACTATAGTGTGTCAAACTTTACCAAGACTAACTTGCTTTTGGGAATGACCATGTAAAAAGTACGCAGGAGAAGGCTCCCCTTGGTGTGTAGGCTGCCACCGCCATGCAAAGCACAGAGAAGCAGGAGGCCCAGAGAAGCACAGAGAAGCAGGAAAAGCAGAGGGGAGAGAGAAGTGGTGCAGGGGACAGTGGCAGCCATAATGACGGATTTCAGAAGCAGGAAGTAGAAACTTGTAGTCCCAAATTTATTTTATAACAGAAAAGATTCAAACTACTGAAACAGAACTTGGGGAGAAAATCAAGGCAATTATTAGAAGAAAACAAGGATGATCATCACTCTAGCCTTAACACCTTCTCATCCTTCAGAAGTCATGGCACTCTTACTAACTGCAGGGGTTATTTTATGCGTTCACCTCCCCAAATTGTTTTACTCTGCTGTAAGGAGAGCAATACCTATCTATCACATGTTTTGTGTTTACCTCAAATAAGTAAGACGGTAATGGCTCTTCTTCCTCCTCTTTCACTTTGGCCAAAATCTCTTGCCACTCAGCTTCATTTTTCAGATGTCTAATGGCTTTAATAAAACAAGACAGCATCCTTTAGATGATGAGAAAACCTATACATTTTTTAATTGTTCTGAAAGCATTCAAATAAACAAAAAAAGTCACTTTCCACTGGGATGAGCGAGGAAAGGGTTCAAGCGCACTTATATCCATCTTCACTGAAAGAACTTGCATCTTAACCTCAGTACTCTCTGCTCTGTGCAGAGCCTAGACAGTTAAGTTTTGTGAAAATACCTACAGTAAGATCATTAGGTTTGCTGTAATACATAAAACAATATAATACAACACCCAAATTGGGGCACATAATAATAAGTGTAAATTGATCTAAATAATAACTCCAGTTTTAATATTATTAGAATTTATTTTAATCAACAATTTGCTATGAACCCAATCTGCTGTATACCTATCTAAACGCTACCTAGAGAATTTTTTTCTTTATTTTATTTTGGTCAGGGTTCAGTATGTGTTGGGGCAGAAGTCTATAAGGTATAGCAATATGAGTGGAAAATTATAAAAGCAATAAAATAAAAAAAAAAATAGGCACTTAATTTAACAACTCCATATAAACATTTTTGTAACATCTCTATTAGGTGAACTAGTGAAGGTTTTCATAATATACAGGATAATACATTTTTCAGTCTAATAGATATTAATGATAACAATAATGTAATGTTTAATAATATAATGTTTAACATAACAATAATGTAATGTAGTAAGAAAAATGTTCTATTACTCTTCACCTAATGGGGGCTGAAGCTCATATCCCTGTTGAGTGGCCCAACCAACATTATGAAGAAATGGATCCAAGTAATACAACCAATGTTCAAAATTGTCAGAATTTTCAAGTCCTTCATAACGCAGCTTTAGCCTTCCGCCAATGTTTTCTACTACAGTAACAATCCAAGTGCTTAAAGAGTCCCGGAAAGCTTGACATTCTAGTCTCGATCCTGGAGCAATGAGATCTAAAGGATTCCTCCCATTACGGAGCTGTAGGTTTAAAAAGTTAAATGATTAAATAAGAGAAGTAAACATAATATATTTAAAAAGCCAAGTTCTAAATGATCTCAAACCAGTCTTTGTATTTTTTACCCATTCAAAAGCCAGTGACATTGAATTGTCTACTATGACACAAATCTCTTACAGTATTATTTCCAGGTGATATGAAAATATTTATCTTGAAGAAAATCTACCAATAATGCGATAAAATTATTCTAATAGATCTTTCTCTAGGTCTATGGTTTAGTTTCATTTAGCAAAAATCTTAAAAATATCATTACTTTATTTCCGATTATAAAAGCAAGTATGATCATCATTAAAGAAAAAATGCCAACACGACAAAAGTCAAAGTCCCCCATAAGCCCAATTCTAAGAAAGAACAATGATAAACACTTTGGCATACACTCTTTTTCCACAAGCAAGTCAATATCCACCTCTGCCAGTCTGTCCATCTGCCTCTTTCTCTTATTTTTGGAAAAATGGGAGCACTGTATACTGTTTTTTCAATTTCTTCTTCACTTAGTACATCGTAGGTATCTTTCTACTACAGCACATACAAATCTTCCTCATATTTTACAGTGTTTTATGATATTCTATATTATGAATGGGCAATAATTTATCCACTTACCTACTGATGGTATTCAATTGTTTCTAATTTTTTACTCATTTCATTAAAATGTTCTTCTGTTTTTATTTGAGACAGGGTCTTACTCTGTCACCCAGGCTAGAGTACAGTGGTGTCACCATAGCTCACTACACCTCAAATTCCTGGGCTTAAGCAATCCTCCTGCCTCAGCCGCCCAAATAGCTGGGATTACAGGTACACGCCACCACACCTGGCTAATTTTTCTATTTTTAGTAGAGACGGGGTCTCACTGTTGCTCAGGTTGGTCTCGTGATGACTCCCACCTTGTAATCCTAGCACTCTGGGAAGCTGAGGCAGGTGGATCGCTCAAGGTGAGGAGTTCGAAAGTAGCCTGAGCAACAGTGAGACCCCGTCTCTACTAAAAATAGAAAGAAATTAATTGGCCAACTAATATATATAGAAAAAATTAGCCGGGCATGGTGGCGCATGCCTGTAGTCCCAGCTACTCAGAAGGCTGAGGCAATAGGATTGCTTGAGCCCAGGAGTTTGAGGTTGCTGTGAGCTAGGCTGACGCCACGGCACTCACTCTAGCCTGGGCAACAAAGCGAGATTCTGTCTCAAAAAAAAAAAAAAGAACTGCTGTGACACTTATATATCCAGATACATTATACAAAAGAACATATGAACAAATGGAGGAATACATTCACAGCTCAAAGTTAGACTGGCAGAAACATGGCCAATGCAGAGCAGGACAGTTTATCAATTCATTTGTTCATCACTTCATTCATTCCTTCAAATTTTACTGAGTGTTTAATATGTGCTGTGTCCTGACTAAGTAAAATGAAATGAATCAGAATATAAAAAATAAATAACAACTTGAAATAGAGTATTCGCCAATCAAGATTTAAAAGGGAATGTGAATGGATCATAGCAATAAACGTAAGGGTTAAACCTATAAACCTCTTTGAAGAAAATATAGAGGTAAATCTTCTTGACATTGGGTTAAGCAAAGCCTGCTTAGATATGATACCAAAAGCACAAGCAACAAAAGAGAAAACAGACAAACTGGAGCATGTCAAAATAAAAATCTTTTATGCTGCAAATGATAAAAAGACAACCACAGAAGAGGAAAAAATATTTGTAAATCATATCTGACCTGTACTTGTTTCCAGAATGTATAAAAAGGCAAAGAACCCAATTTAAAAATGGGCAAAGACGTTTCTTCAAAAAGATACATAAATGGCCAATAAGCACCCAAAAAAACCACAAAAAACTATGGTCAATACCATTAGCCATTAGGGAAATGCAAATCAAAATGAGATACCACTTTATATTCACTAGGATAGCTATCACAAAAAAGATAACAAGTGTTGGCAAGGATGTAGAGAAATTGGAATTGTCATATATTGCATTTCATATAAGCCACAAAGAATTTTACTAGTATGACAGAAAATGCTAAGATATAACTTAGAAATGTCATAACTAATAAATTCATTTCACAAAATCAAGAAATCTATATTCACTAACAAGCTTAAAAGCTACACTAATTTAAAAAGGCTGCTAGAAGAAGGTAGGAGTACAGTGGGTCCAGTGTCTTCTGAGCAAAAGAAAAGCGGTTTTTTTCAAGTCACTGGCATGGAAGTTACAAACGCCAACCCTGAAGTAGAATCAATCCCTGCTTAGGTCCAGAGTGAAAGCATCCAAAGGCCTCGTTTTCCAAATGTGTAAAAGAATCTTAGCAAGCAATTTTAAGATTTCTTGAAGATTAGATGGGTTTTCCACACTGATTTGGCATGCAGTAATACTCACACCCTCTAGCAGTGGAACAGGAGGACTACATGCTCCCATCAAAGTCTGCCGTAGAAACTCATTCCAGTCAGACACTTTATCCTTGATTCCTAGATGAGGAAATAAATGACTGATTACTAATAACATCAGCCATAGAACACACAGAAACTATTGGAAATGGCTTAGAGGTGTATTTGTCATTTTAAGATCTAAGAATTCAACATATTGTTTCTTTGAGAGCTTGAAAAGACAAAACAAAACAAAACAGAAATCATTCCCTAGATAGAGCTACTTTCTGGTTAAGTTTAATAAACGTTGTATACAAAACAAACAGAATAGGCCCAACTCCCTTTTACTATAATTTTATCCAAAAGGTGCCTACTTTATTTTTATTATGGAAAATTTCAAACATACATTAAGCAGAGAAAATGGTTTAATGAATGTTCATGTAATCTAGCTTCAACAACTGTCACCTGACAGCACTCTGTGTCATCTAGGACAGGAGCTAGCAAACTACAACCTGTGGGCTAAATCCAGCCTGCTGTCTATGTTTGTAAATAAAGTTTACAAAGTGTACTGGAACATGGCCATACCCATATACATATTATCTGTTGCTTTTTCACACCAAAAAGGCAGAGTTGAGCAGCTGTGACAGAGATCATATGCCCAGTAAAGGCTAAAATATTTACTATCTAACCCTATAAAATAAACAATTTGCCAACACCTGGCCTATATACCCTCACATACTCTACCCCTGCCCCACCAAGGATCATTTAGAAGCCAATTCCAGATATCATATAATTTCATCCATATATATTTCTAAAAGAATATAACTTTTTACATAACCACTATAACACCATCATACCTTAAAAAAATTAACAATAACTCCTTAATATCAAATATCCAGCCTATGTTCAAATTTCCCCAATTATTTCATAAATGGTTTTTTTCAATTTGTTTGATCAAATAAGAATCCAAGTAAGATCCATACATTGCAAATGGTCGCTATATCACCTACATTTCTTTTAATTTGTAGGTTCCTTCTACTTCCTTCCCTCCTCTCTCTCTTTTTTTTACAGCACATTTGTTGAGAGTTCAGCCTTTGTCCTATATAGAGTTTTTCAGAGTCTGGTTTCATTGGTTCCCTCCCTATGGTAACCTAATTGTTCTATCATTCCCTATTTTTCTATAAATTGGTATTTAGAGCCAGACACTTCATCAAATTTAGGAAGGAGTGGTAAGGAGGCAAGAATACTTCATAAGTGGAGTTATAGCTTCCCATCAACAGGCACATGTAGTCTGGCTGTCTCTCTTTTTCTGACATTAGCATCTTTTAATGGTCACTACATAGATGCATTGATTCATTAGGGATTAAAGATGGTGATATTCTATCTTTGCTTCTTCATTTACTAACCAAAATGCTTCTATGAAGAAAAACTTTTCTTCACCAATTATTTGACTACCCAGAGGTAGAGTTCACACATACACACACAAAGGCAAAACATATGCTTGACTGTCTTTATCATTTCCGCATATTTACCAGCCTTCAAAAACATCAGTTAGTTCCCTGGCATCCTCCAAAGGCGACCAGTAAGGGTTCTGTTTTAAAAATTCACTATGAAGTCATAAATTATAATACATTTCGAGCCACTGCAGATATTGTCCTTATTGACACTCAAACTATCCCATCTATAACCAGAATGAGTCTATTCAGGTCGGTTCCCGAACCCTTTTGACATGCACTAGTAAACAGTCATCGATGTCTTTTTTTCTTTTTGGCATGACATGATGTTCTAGGCTCATGTTGTATATTTTCTGCCCAAGTCCAGGAATCAGCTACTTCTCTAAGGAGCCCCAAATTGTTTCACTGAAAATGATATTTAGAGATAATTGGGGTGCTGGGAGTGCTCACTGCTACTGGGTTAGTATTTCTAAGCCTTTTCAACATTTAGAACTAAAAGAGCTCTCCTTTTTCTTCTTCATCCTTCCCTTTCTACTTCTGCCCTCCCTTTCTTCTTCCTCTTAAGATAAATCACATTAGGAAGCTTCCAATACAAATTCAGAAAGTGCTTTTACTTAAGCTCATCTTTCTAAGCTCTATTTCCTTTCTATCATGCTAAAAAACCTAATTCCCAAATATACATTTAATTATTAATTTGCTTGACCCACAACACATAAATATTTCAAAGTAACAAGATCAACCCAACCACCAATAACATGATCACTAAAAACAGCTTAAGATTTTTTAATTATTTTTTTAGAGACATGGTTGTCACCCAGGCTGGTGTGCAGTGGCCCGATCATAGCTCACTATAACTTCCAACTCTTGATCTCAAGCGATCCTCCTACCTCAGCCTCCCAAGTAAATGGGACTACAGGAGCACACCAGCATGGCCAGTTAATTTTTTATTTTTTGTAAAGATGGAGGTATCTCTATGTTGCCCACGCTGGTCTCGAACTCCTGGCCTCAAGCAATCTTCCCACCTCGGTTTCTCAAAGTCCTGGGATTACTACGTGTATGAGCCACTGTACCCAGCTAGATATTTCTTTTTTTGCATTTTTGTTGTTGTTGACTTTATAGTATGTCCCTACCATACATTCAAATTATTATATTTTAGTCACTGAGTTTTTCTCTGTGTGGTCACCCCATAAGCTCCACACAGTTTAGATTTCTTTGACTCTGCTTTTGTTTTTTAGGAATTGCTTTTAAACATTTAATTTTGCTTTATAGTTATATAAAATATTTATAAGGTATAAAAATCAAATCTACAAAATAAGGTATAATGAAAATCTAGCTTCTATCTCTATCCCTTCATTCTATTCCCTTATTTCCCCACAGGTAATTTTCTAAATGATTTATTCTTTTATTTTGAAAAAAATAAGTTCATATATACACACATTCGTATACTCTTCTCCCCACTAATTCTGTACTCCTTTTTCTTTTTTTTTCATATAACAGTATATCCCAGAGATCACTCCTTGGTTGTATGTAGATTGCCCTCATTTCTTTTCACTGCTGAGTGTAGCTACTGCTGATATAAAGTATCCTCCTATGTGTCTTGTAATGCCTTCTAATCTGAATTCCAACTCCGTCAGATATTAAGACAGACTGCTGGTTTCTTTTTTATTTGCATTTGTCTGTGTATCTTTGTCCATCCTTTTATTTTTACCCTGTCAAAGTCTCTCTGTTTAGGTGTGTCTCCTGTACCTAGGACAAAAGTGAACTTTGCTTTGTGAGCTAATCTGAATTAATTTGTGTATGTATGTATGTATTTACTTACTTACTGAGACAGAGTCTCACTCTGTTGCCGGGGCTAGAGTGCCGTGGCATCAGCCTAGCTTACAGCAACCTCAAACTCCTCAAGCAATCCTTCTGTCTCAGCCTCCCGAGTAGCTGAGACTACAGGCATGTGCCACCATTCCCGGCTCATTTTTTCTACATATTTTTAGTCGGCCAATTAATTTATTTCTATTTTTAGTAGAGATGAGGTCTCGCTCTTGCTTAGGCTAGTTTTGAACTCCTGACCTTGAGCGATCCCCCGGGCTCGGCTTCCCAGAGTGCTAGGATTACAGGCATAGCCACCGCGCCCGGCCCTGAATTTATTAATATTATTCTTTTAAACCTCTAATGGGAGAGTAAACCTATTAACATTTACTGATATTATCAATATGCATAGCCTAAATTCTGTCACATTGTTAAATAAATTTTGTGTGTAGTTTTCACTGCATGATCTATTTGCACATATACTTTCTTTTGGCACATAGAAAGGTTTGTGTTTTTGTTCTACTGATTACCTTTATACTAACATTTTTACATAACACTTTTAGTCTTCTCTATTTTTAGACTATTTTCTATTTTTTGTTTGTTTGTTTCTGTAAACAATACTAAAGTTAGTTATAACCTCCTTTTTCTCCTCTCCTTCAGCATCTCATTTCAAGTAATATCCTTTTACTCCCAATGAACACTTACACGGTAATTAGTTAAATTATACAGCAATAAAGCTGGGTTTTAAAAAAATGTTTTTATCTGACAGTGTTCATCATTTTTGTGGTTATATTTCTCTGGAAGGATTTTATTCTACCGTTTTTTTAGTTATAATAATCTTACATGATATTCAACTGAAATTCTTTTCTGTTGTTCATGTTTAAATGAGACGCATTTTCCTATGCTTATAGGATGAGATGGTGGGCCTGGTGGGCCAGGTAGCTTCGTATCTCTAAAGCTCCCTCTTGTATTATTTTTCACAAAGTAAAAAATTTTCACAAAGCTGAAGCCCACAGGCCTAACCTCAGGATCCCAATACCCAGATCTTGATTTTAGGTACACTTCTTCACTAAAAGAAAGCAGGACTTTTTGGGGAAATAGCTGAATTCAGGGCTGAGACAGGGAAATACTTCTTGATCCAAAAAATAAGAAACTGCTCAAGTAATGAGAGAGACATACCAAAAGAACACATTAGCCAGCTTAAAGGGCTACCCACTCACCAAATCTAGGGTAGTTTCAGCAAAAAATAAATAAAAATAGTAAAGGATTATAACCCATTGAATAAAATCAGAATCAGGAGTCTATACTACATGCATACCTACATATACACATACATACCTAAATGGACAAAAACAGAAAGCTCTTTCTATAGTAGAAAGCCTATTTAAAAATGCCTAGGAAGTTTCAAAAACACTGCTTGCTAATCATTGGAGTACTTATCATTTCAAATAAAACTTATCAATGGATGCTACGAATAGTGGGTCAAACTTTAAAGGGTAATGGGACATTTTCATAATCTCTAAGTACCTTCCCACAAGATTCTAATTAATTAAAAAGGGGGAAAGAATACTTTCACAATGGGAAAACCTGGCATATACCAATCTGATAAAGTGATGGAAGTTAATATCACCAGGAACAGGACAAATCAACAGCATGTATATCCTGATATAATGCACTGAAATGACACAGCTTTTGCATTTTTCCTACCAAAAGTGCAGAATCTGAATATAAGGAAGCATTAGACAAACCCGAATGGTGGGAAATTCCACAGAATGAGTGGCCTGTAATCTTCAAAAATGTCAAGACCAAAAAAGACAAAGACAAAGACAAAGAAAACTAAAGAGATATGGCAACTAAATGCGATGTAATCCTGGACTGGATCCTAGACCAGGAAGAGAAACAGGGCACAATGACCATTACTGGGACCAGGACATAATGAACATTGGGAAAATTGGCCTGTATCTTTCAAAACTTCAAAATCATAAAAGACAAAGACTGATTAACTGTTTCAGATTAAAGGAAATTTATAAGACATGACAACTGAATATAACACACAATCTGGGATTTTCTTTTATTAAAAAACAGTTATTGGAACAATTGGCAAAAACAGAATAAGGTCTGAAGATTAAATAATATTGTTATACCAAAGATAATTTCCTGATTTTGATATTTTACTGCACTCATGACTGCCTTGTTTATAGAAAAACATTAAAGTACTTATGAGTAAAAGGCCACCATGTCTAAAACTGACTCTCAAATGGTTCGTTAAAGGAACATATTTGGGTGGGAGAGAGAGGATAAATCAAATGTAGTAAAATATCAACATTTTGGGGAAACCTAACAAAACATTTCTAAGAATTTTCTATACTATTCTTGCAACTTTTCTGTAAATCTAAAATTATATCAAAATAAGAAGTTAAAAGAAAATATAAAAAGTCTGGTATTTTCTTAAATCTACAGATTTAAGTCTCTCTTACCTTTCCCCATCTTTATCTCACCCTTCTCTTTCTTTTGCCTTTATTGTCTCTCCCCTGCTTAATTTGGATTCTACTCCAAGTTGGGCTCCTTCCTGGAATGGAGCTTCAGTTGGTTCATTTTAAGAGTTCATAGTTCCCAGATTGCTTGGAGGTAAGAGGAGAGAGGACAATAAAAACAGAAAGAGAATCAACAGCACATCAATCTGGCTCAACATACTTAAAAACAATCAGACCTACGAGTCTCAAACTCAGACCACCTCACAGTCTTAAAGGATGATAAGCCACTGATGTTCCCTATGAGCATCATAACAACCTGAGACTTCATGGAGTACACAAGATAATTTTAAAAGATACAGAAATGTGCATTATTCTTTGTAAGTATTTTCATTCAAAATGCTAACCTAGAAAAGCTGGATAAGCCTATGTGCTTGGAAACTGAAAACTTCAAGGCTGTGGACAATTCAAATTTTCTTATAGCAATATCGTATCATGTCTTGATAGGAGGTATTTTATTACCTTCTGGAGCTTCGAGTGTCTTCTTATTCTGTTCACACCATCCAATGGGGTAGAGATTAGCCTTCCTGATGTCACACCAGAAATCTGCTCTCCGGTCATCCCCATAGCCATCATAGCGGAGAAGGAGCAACTGCTCACAGGTGGTAATGATGGTAGCAACCCAGTAGGTTTCAGGATCTGTCCTCACAGCCACCTCTAGCTTCATCCCAGGAGCAAATCCATTTTGCAAACGTATGTCCACCTGAACCGAGAAATGAGGTTAAGCACCTGGCAAGTATCTTAGATGAGTATTTCTTGTTCATTTTTAACACTTAAAATTCTGAAGCATTAAGTGCCATAATATCTTCTCAAGACAAACTTGAGAAACTCCAATTCTAACTCATAGGTGTGATCCAAACAAAAAGAAGAATCCCAATGCTGCTATGTTCCATCTGACAATAAAGGAACTCAATATTTTCACCAAAGCAGCCTATTATTGTTAAAGAAAATATTTTCTATTAAGTATATAATATACTAAATAGTCACCATTTTAATAGCCTTCAACACATTGTTTTTGACAGTGATTTCTGGATGACTCAATAGAAAATTTATAAGGCTAGAAATGGAAAAGACAAAAATAAGCTGTAATGATAATTAGTGTAATATCTACCATACACAGGGAGCCATATTTCCCAGTTTCTCTATTTCCATCAGTTATCCCTGAATAACAACTGATAATGTCCAACCTTTCTTTCTCAAAATGTTCTAATTTAGATGAAGAATTATATGGTCACAAAGGTACAGTAACGTTAGCAAGTCTAGAACTACTTTATGCGTATGCTAAAATTAAATAAATAAATATTCTGTGGATAATGAGAGATAGGTTTCTCACTGTGACAGAAAGAAGTTACAAATAAGGAAAGGAAAAGACTAAAATGAACCTTGTGGTGTTGGATTGGAATCAGAGGTACCTGAATGAGGACAGGATGATTGAAAGATAGATAGATGGATGGATGAATGGATGAAAGTTAATAAAGACACAGACAGAAAAAAGTAAAGATGTATATGTATGTGTTTATATGTAGATAAACACATATTTCCAGAATGGAGCAAGATGGCGGATGAGAAACACTGCCAGACAGAGTGTCTCTGCAGAAAAGACAGATTCTAGCAGAAATTAGAAAAAAGAAGCAAGAAGACGAGCATACAGCGGACAAGGGCCGGAAGGAGGGGTACCTGAGACCCCGGGAGATCCAGGGGAGGAGGCTGCGGAGGAGAACTGGAGGCTGAGACCACCAGAGCAGCCCGGAGACCAGCGGCAAGGGTAGGTGGATTTGCTGTTTCCCCTCCCGCATTTGGGACTGCTGGTGGCTCCCCCAGCAGGTGGAGAGACCTGCAGACACCAGCCAGAGAGGGCCGCCACCAGCCAGTGGTGAGCCTGTAGCAGACGTGCACCCAGGTCCCAACTCCCTCCGGGCACCTCCTGTGCACAGACCTGAGATCGCGAGCAGGCGCCATATTCCTCCTCCTCCCCTCCGCCGACCCTACCCGCGCGGCTGCAGAGACAATACAGCACCAGCCGGAGGCACCTCAAGGGAATGGGACCTTCCCTTTTGGGACCCTACAGCTGACTCAGGGGAACCAGACTGTGAGCTCCCTACCCGCCAGCTCTCCCAGGTGCTGCTGCATGGTATTCCCAGGAGAATGGTGCCGACTCAGAGGCTGAGAGACATAGAGCCAGCAACCTGTGGGTGAATTGGGACCAGAACTCCTCCCCCTGGTGGGATACAGTTTGAACTCTGGGACCCAGAGGTGGACCTGCAGACCAGATCCCTGCACCGAGGGCTAGCATTCCGGGGCACAGAGGGTTATACGTGAACAGCCTACTGAGGTGTGTGTGCCTCCAGGGGCGGACCAGCATCCTACAGGCAACCTCCTCCCCAGGAGGAGGCCGTGGGCCCAGCCCAGGTGCGTTCCTGTGCAGGGAACCTCCTCGCCGGCATCACAGTCCGGGAGGCCTGGTGGCTTGTGTCTGGCCTGCTGCAGAGGCCCAGGAGTAGCTGCGGAGTTGGGGAGGGTGGAAAAAAGCGAGGCCCGCTCCAGACTGTGGGTCTCAGACAGACCCACCCCCACACGCAGACTTTCTGGTTGAGCAGACCATTCCAGCCCTGCCTTGACAGCTTTTCCTGGAAGCAGAGAACAGAACTTTGACCCTGCTAACTGCCTGAGGCAGGCTTACCAACCCAGCTCCCCGCAGAACAAGAGCTGATAACAGGGACACAAAATCAAGCCAGCATAGCCTGTTCCTCCAAGCAAACAAGCCCACCTACTGACAGGGACGGCATCTTGCACAGCCTTTCCACCGGCACCCACCTGACTCAATATACAGGGAGTGGTCCAATCTCACCCACAGACACCACCTAACGCCTCAGAAACTAAACAAGGTGTGTGAATACCCAAACAATAACCTAAAGGAAAGAAACAACAACTGATCCACATGGGAAGAAATCGCGAAAGAACTCAGGAAATATGAGACAAACGGAAAACACACCCCAAAGAGGAGCACCACCCCTAGAAACGGACCACCAACCAAAATCAGGCAACCATATGACAGAAGAGGAATTTCATATGTGGATCAATAGAACACTCACCCAGCTGCAACAACAACTCAATAACCAACACAAAGAAACCACAAAAGCGCTCCAGGATATGGGAAAAAGAAATAGACACAATGAAGAAAAGTGTAACCGAACTCCTGGAAATGAAGAATCAATTCAAGGAACTACAAACATACAGTGAAAGTCTCAAGAACAGGGTAGATCAAACAGAGAGAAAGAATCCTCCGAGCTTGAAGATAACACCTTCCAATTAATAAATCAGTCACAGAAAGTAGAGCAGGAAACAAGAGAAAAGGAGCAAAGCCTACAAGAGCTGTGGATTATGTGAAGAAACCTAATGTGAGGGTCATAGGTTACCAGAAGGGAAGAAGGCACCACTCAAGGTTGGACAAGCTGTTTGAAGATATTATAGAGAAAATTTCCCAGGCCTTGCTCAAAATCTTGATATACAAGTCAAGAAGCTCAGAGGACCCCTGGGGAGATTCAATGCAAACAGGAAGATGTCACGACATGCAGTCATGAGACTGACCAAACAGTA